CTAGGGGTCCGGGTGCTTGAGTGACCTGGAGAGGAGCTCGCTGGTCTACGACTTGGAAGAGTGATTCTTGATGACTTGCCTCCCCGAGCTGGTATTCGGATACAGAGCCATTCCAGATCATCGGTGCTGGGCATCTGAGTGCGATTTGGTGCGGGACACTGTGCTCCAGTCAGTGGTAGCCATGGCTCCCAGAGCAGTCTTTCAGGGTCATGAGACGTCTGGCGCTGGGTGGGTGCAGTAACTCGGCGCGGGTCCTGGGATACTACGCTGCATGGTAGATTCGCTTCGCTGGCTCAGTATCGCAGGAGGTAGTTTTCAAGTAAGAATGCTGGAGGCTGAATCCCATTCATCTGTGTGGTTGTCCGATTATCTTGGAAAAGCTGCGCTCCCCAGCCAGACTGTGACTAAGGCTTTCTTTCCGACGCACTGGAGAACCAAGCCTTCTCTTGGGTCCGGATGAGTAGGCAAGCTTATTTAGCCTGGCTGGAGACCGATCTTGACCACTACTGCAGCAGTGCACTCTGCTTCCGACATTTTTGATCCTTCTCGTACTCGCTTCGAATGAGAAAAGTCTGTAAATATTTTTCATGAAGAAAATAAAGGGTCATTGCACGTTCTGCACGGAAACAATTTATCCGACGTCCGGTTTTACTGTAAAAGTTTTCTGGCAGCACCATGCTACTGTGGCAGTCGAACTTCTTGAGGTGGTGTTCTTCTTTATGAGAATCCTCATCTTCCTTTCACACGAACCAGGACACGTCCTTCTGTAGGGGGAATTTAGCTTAATGAAGCAACCCTCGATGCTACCACCTCTTTTATGACCCCTCTTCCTCCCCATCCCCTGTTCCACTTGCCATCTCTCTGTTTTCCCACTCTCTACCACTTTTCTACAGTTTTTCTTCCCAAAAATCCTCCATTTTTCCTAAAACACCTAACTTCGAGCGGGAGGAGGGATGATGGGTGGCATTTTCTTCAACTGCAATAGGTCTTCCCCCCCCCCTCGCTGGCAATAGAACGTGCTCTGACGCAAGTAGTAATGTTTTGCTTTACTTTTCCACTATTTATTTTCTAATTGTTACAGCTATACGCTAGTGGGTAAAATCTCGCTCTTCTACTGTTTTACGGTCGTTTGGAAAGTTCGTGAATGTGCTCATTTTTGTGACATCGTTGTAAGCCGGACCTCATGTCATACCGTCCACCCCCCAAATTTATCCCCCGAACGTTCAAGATTTTGAATGTGACCCCGTCATAATGCCGACCTCGAACATCTGTCCTCAAAAGGTGCTCTCGATGAGCGTAGGTATTTGCTGGGTGTGTGGTTGTGACCCGAGAAAGCTCCGTGCCGTGCTCTATTGTGCGGGCCATCATCTGTTCAAACGTGTGGGTCATTTCCATCACCCCGTCACGGCACCGACGGAATGCCGCTCGCCGACCGTAATTACGCTGTTGTAGCATGCAGCTGCTGGCCCCCTTACGAGAGGCCGGGTTTGATTTCTGAGAATCCGGGAGTTCTACGAGGGGGGGGGGGGGGGATTGTGCACTCTTGCTACTTCCCATCGTCGTGTCGAGCCATCTGGAGAGCCATTTCGTGAGCTTACAAGAGTTGACGGGCCCATGATGACTCGACTAGCTTGCTCCAGCTTTTCAAGAGTTCACAGGTTTCCAGGATACACTCCGCAAACCGAACTAGCGGCGGCAGCGCAAGTGCAAAATGCTCCGCCCCCCCCGTCGCCGAAACTGAGCGTGCAGGACTGCTAAGGAGCGTTTTTGGAGTAGCAGTGAGTCCAAGTATGGGTGCTATGAGTAAACGTCCTGATCAGGGTCGAGCGAGATATCTAAGGGAGATCTTGATCTCGCGCATCAACTCTCTGGCGATTCGAGTCAGGTCTGCGTTCACCTGCCACCACAACATCTGAAACCTAGCATCCTTTTCAGCTATTTTTATTACCGTCTCACAAGTATCTCGGGCGCATGAACCTCGGACCTATATAAACCGCCCGGCGTTTTTGGTTCAGCATAAGGTACTGAGGAGCGGGGTCTGGTTAAAACACGATTCCCCGGGGGGTTGGTAAGACATCGATGATTCGTCTACGATAACGGGCGAAACGGATCATCTGTGATGTTGAGTGTATTCCTTTCCCCAATATTTGTTTCTTTGTTTCTATTTGGTATCTCCACTTGCCCCTCAGGAGGCCCTCAATCGGAGCATCACTCCAAGCTCCTTTTTTAGATACAGCCGAACCTCCCCTCATCCCATCCGCAAGATTCGTTCAAAACTCTACTGGCTAGTATGCTACCGTCTAGCGAGGTCTAGCACTGACCTTCTCCGCCCGTTCCCCCTCTGTCCTCACCGCTCGCCATTAACAAGTAGCCATACGTTCACGTAATCCGATGCATCCCCACCGTGGCGGCGCCCGTGTGATCTTAAGAAACTTGAGCCGTCATTGAGGAGCCGTGCGGTCAGTTTGAGCAATGACAGGTCGACCTTACCTGGTGCACTCGAGTCCTTTAAATAAACTTTTCTGGTATAGCCCTAATTACAAGTTACAAGCTCTGACTTTTGAACGTCATGTTGGTATCCCGGAGAGGATTTACTGTGCAAGCACTCACTTGACGTTTGTCTAAAGCATTATGTCGTGACCTCGCTGGACCACTACCTCCTTTATCCACTTGGTATGCCTCCTCTTGACATCATATCCTGCCTATGAGTCTCTCAACTGCGCTTGAATATCTCTACTGCTCAACGTTGGGACCTACATCTGCTTCTGATTCCACCATTTTTCAGAGTATCGCCGACTCGTCGTCGTGCACTCCATTGGGCCCCACGATGGCGTCCGCACGGAATCCTCCCGGCTCCATATCAAGTAAGTATTACTCGCGTTTATATCAGAAAGCTGACTGACCAGCCTCCAAATCCAGTCGGTTGGTAATTAGTAGAACCGGTCCAGCGGTCCGCTAACGGAATGCTCGTCTGGGAGTTCCGGTGCGCGGTCTCTTTGATGTCCTCTAGCGCTTTCACGTCTGCCCCGCATGCGCAGTGAAGAGTGAAAACGCACGTGGAGAAGGCAACAGGTGGCAACAACAGTTGGACCGTTCACCGAATTATACGGTAGTGGGGCCGTAAATCAACAGGAAGATGAATAGAGACAATTCGAACTCATCCAATATAATTAATTCGCATTTTGAAAAAAAATGAAAATTCGGCGCTCTTCAGCCTGGGAGGGGCTTCTTGTATTATAATTTTGCTAGTTGATGTAATCAACAGGTCACGCTTTGGTAAGACCTGTCAGCTCCTGTGAAGCAGCAAAACGGTATAAGTGAGCCGCTTCGGTAACAGGAACTCACAGGTCTTCACAAGATGATCTGAACTAAGTACCGTTTGGTGCCAAACTGCGGCGAATTTCATAAAAAAAGTTAATGTTTGACCCACTAACTAAAATGAGCAATATAATTTGAAAGAAAAAATTAATTAATAATTGTATAGTACATAGTTGTATAGCGTGTTAAGAATTTCGGTTCTTTCAGTTTACTTATTTCAGTTTTCAATTATAAACGACATTTATTTTTTATTAGACTTCATTCGACCCAGATTTATAAAAACTAATAGAAAAGAGATAAGATAGTGGGACCAGAAATCAACGGATTATTCTAGAAGGTTTTCCTCAGTCCTAAATGCGGTGGAAACTAAAATGACAAATTCTGAACTAGTAACTTCAGGGTGCGCCATGCATCTGGCATTAAGCGTAACATTGTATGGTAGCCTTTGAACACTTTCATATCTGAATTTAAACAGACTCGGTTCAATTCGGTTTGAAGGGCACCAAATGCTACTCAGCGAACCCGGTTCAGAAAACTTTGCGAAGACCAGTAAAGTCTTGTAGTTAAAGTGGCTCACTCGTAGCATTGGGCAGCTTCACAAGAGTTTCACAGGTCACACCAAAACGAAACTTCTTACACAACATAAAACCGCGAAAAGAACTAGCGAAACTACAAATTGCCCCTCCCAAGCCCAACAGCATCCTCAGATCCTATACAACAAATCAGACTTTCTTGAACATAGGAGCTGTGGTCAATAGCGATTGTTT